CAGGCTGACTGTAATTTTCTGAACCATGGGTACAGTGGAGAATTATTAACAGGTACGGATCTGGTTCCAAGGAAACTAATTATTGTAGACACAAAAGTCTTAAGATAGTAAGTTACATAAACAGCTGAAGTCCCACTACTATATTCAGAGTTTATCTATGCAAGCGTGTGTGTGTGTGTGTGTGTGTGTGAGTGTGTGAGTGTGTGTGTGTGTGTAACAAGATCGCCTGTCACGGCAATTATGGTTTGTTTTTCAGTCTCTCAAAAGGAAAAGTAGTATTCACTAAGGGATATTTATTCATTTTTACACATAGGCAGCCTGTAGGTTACAAGCGGATAGAAAGTTCTTCTTTTCATCACAAGCTATGGTGTAGCCTAAAAATGCAATTTGTTGCTAGGCAGATCATCTTAAAGGTTTTTTTACTGCGTCTGTATTATAGGAAAATAAAATACTATTGAAAGAAACAGTTCTCTACAGGAAGTCACTCTTTATTCCCATTACAAGCGCCGGTGCATCTTAAGAAAGTAAAATTACATCCGCTATTGTTAAAAAATAAATAAATAAATACAGAGAAAATTGTCATAATATTGAAACAGAATTCAAACTATGAGTTTGCGGAAAACTAACTGCCGCTCTGTCTCTCTATACAGCACAGAGTCAACTGCTGCATCACCGCTGTGCTTCAGGAACCCTCTCTGATCTCCCCCCAGCAACCATACCCCTCCCCTCATGCTTAGGGAACATGACGCATCAGGTCTGAAAATGACTAGACACTTCCGGAGTATTTCCGGTAGGGTCATAAGCTCCGGATCGAGGCCTTCCATAGTAAATATGCTGTATTTGAATATGTCATATTCAAAGCCTTCTTCGGGAGAGCAGATTTCTTCGCCGTCCAAGTACACAGGAGCGCTGCTGGGCTGCAGAAGGAAATCCATCTTGCGTCTGTGTCTTAGAAATTGTGACCTCCTCTCTGCTTTTATTCTCCTCCCTCTAAAAACTTTTTTTCTTTTTTTCCCAACAACAGGTGCCGCGCTTCCGGAGGTTTCCCCCCTCCCTTCTCAGGATGCAATTCGACACGCTTAGCGACAGATGGCGCGCTTCCGGGGTTCGCCCCCCCTTCTCCGGATGTCGGGGGGTTCCCGCCCCCCCTTCTCCGGATGCAATTCGTCACGGTCATTACTCGCTTCCGGGGGGGAGGGGGGAGGTCAAAAGGTCATGATTAGGGCCATCAATCACTTCGGATTAAATTTTGTCATAAGCTGTAGGGAGTATCTCTCTCACTGCCTAACAGCACTAATGCACCAGTTATGTCTGACTCTGCTAATGTTGTAGGAGGAGAAGGAGAATCAATTTGAGTGAGAAGATTAGTTAAATGTGGTACAGTGTAATAAGACAGTCCCCACATTTACCTAAGTAATAATAAACCATCTCTGCATGTTTCCTGTTCTTTACCCACAGAAACTGAAAGAGCTTTTCCCAAATGGTAATGCTCAGTTTTTACCTGACATTAGTGTTCATGTGAACTCTGATCTATTATACATTTTCATCTTTTCTGTTTTTCATTTTAATGTTTACCTCTTTTCAGATACGTTTCAGAATGTTGGTAAGTTTTTTTTTCTTCCTTCTTGGTGTTAAGTGTTTTTATTTTGTATTTATTGCTGTGCAATGTGTAGAGTTTTTGCACTGGAACTAGCAACTAAAGGCTTACTATGGTCCTGATGATGTGGTTGTCTGAAGTTTGTCATTTTTTTTTCTTTAAATAAGTTCTAAAAAGCAGTGTGTAGAAGGCTCCCCTATTTATTGGAAGCTTAAGGTAGTCCGTTCTTTCACTTTGACATGTCTTTTTGCTTTTTAAAGCCAAAGGTGTACCTCATATCATTTTTGTGGATCCAGAAAAAAAGAATTGCCTCAAACATCCCATTAGACATAGTGTGTTAGATTTGTATTGTTGATTGTCATTTATGCTTAGAAATATCTACTCATATATGCTTAGAGTTGTATAATCAATGTCATGTTGGTAGAGGTTTGATCCTTAATAGTCTGCAAAGACTTTGTGTGCATTCCAGAGTGTTCTGGCATTCACACCACATCCTGGGAGCATGGGAGAGCGTACCTTCTCTTATTGTTTTATGGTAGGATAAACGTATCTATGTCTGTTTTAGGCTAAGTGCCTTTTGTTTAGATGAACTGCTGGACTTCCAGACCAGCAGGTTTAGGGAAGTCATTTATGGGGTCACACACTCACACACACACACACACACACTTACACAACGCACAGGCAAGGTACTCTTTGTTTGTATGTAGACGTCATATGTTAATGAACCTATGTATATTCATGTAACCTCAATAAAAGAGCAGTGTTACGGGGGAGCGGACGAGAGCGACTGGGGTCAAGCGAAGGAACGGCGCTTGTCGTGGTTCTCTCCCTCATATATGAGTAACACAAAGAACTTTGCCTACTTGGTGTTCAATGCTTTTGCTGTGTAGTTGAATTGTCTTGAACGTTCCAGCGAATAGGTTTAAGCTACAAACCTATCACACCTACCCTGCTCTACAGGTTTGGATTTGTGGGTGTTGGGTTTTGTTCGCCATTTTAGAGAGATTTTTATATGAAAGTTCATGCAAATATGTGTGAGTGTTGAGTTTTCATAAGAACTGGAGGAACCTTTTATTAATGTATTTTAATTCATGCGAGAGATATAGTAGTGTTCTCTGGGAAGGATTTTAGTTGGGAGACATCTTGGCAGAATCAGCTGATGACCAAGACACACTTGAGTGCTTATATGTGCAGCACAATATAGATTAATGTAATCTGTTACTGTCTTTTTAGCCCCTATATGGGTATTAAAAGTAAATCGTCATTGATTTTTACACTTGTTTGCCTTTCGCATTACTGTAGCAGCATTTAAGCGAGTTCAGGAACCTAAATCTTAAGTTTTATACTACTGGACAAACATAGGATTTATCACCTAGATGTAGATGAATGTGAAATTGTATTACATCAGCCTGTTTAAAACAAAAGAGCTTGTTTGATGTTTGAAGTAATCGTCCTGTTTCAAATTGACTTTCTTTCAGGCTTGTCTGCGCTGAGTCTGTGTTTCAGTCCAGAGGCGCGGACCTCTTTTTACTTGTGTCACATCTGTGGTGAGAAGAGTTTACCTAGTGATGTCTTAAGGCACTTCTTTTCTATGGACCATTACAGCAACTACATTGTGAGTACTGAACAACATAAAATATAAAGCAGGAATATTTAGTGTTTAATTTGTAAGATTAATTCAAACTTTTTGCTTTTTGATAAGAATTGCATGGATCCCAATGCAATGAGTTTCTCCTGGATCCCCAGCAAGAAAATGAAAGAGACTGAACTCAAAAACAGAGTAAAAGAAGAAGCGTCTATGGACTTGCAGGTGTGTGTGTGTGTGTGTGTGTGTGTGTGTGTGTGTGTGTGTGTGTGTGGGCGCGCGTGTGCGTGCGTGCGGAAGTAATGTAGGAGGATTCATATACCAGATTGGAGATGGGCGATTTTAAGCGTGGAAGTAAACTTATCATGAGTGTTACGGTTTCAGATATTGAGGAGGGATGCAAAACAACACTGGTCCAGGAGGGTTGGGTCAAACAATGATTTTAATGAACGCTGTCACACAATCAGCATGGATCTCCTCCTAACAATACAGAAGCAGTTGTTTTATAGCATCGGGGTATTATTACGCCCCCTCTTGCGTCAAGCAGATACAACACATGCATAAGTTTCAAAACCACAAATGTTCTGTTGACGACTTTTGACACATTTGAAAAGAACATTTTCTCCGTCTCCACGTCAGGTGCTTCCTGTAGATCTTCTTGCTCTCGCTTATCTCTGGAACATCAGATGCACGTCCTACCACACGTCCTGTGTGTGTGTGTGTGTGTGTGTGTCAACCTCAAATGCACTCTGTCTCACCTCGCCAACTAAACTCATGACCTCTTAATAAAAAGGATATAAACAAATAAAAGATGATAATGAATAACATGGCACGTGTGTCTTGTAAGCGTGTAGGCAATCCTTCCGTAGCTCTAAGTCACTTACACAATAGATCGTCTGGACGAAGCTTCTGACCTTCAATTAACTGGCTGAGCTTCAACTCTTTAAGAAGCACAAACTGCAGGGTGTGTATAAAAATAGTTGTAACTGCACCTGAAATAAAGGTTAATATGTGCCTGTATGTTTAGACATCTTAATGCCGTCTTAAAGCTAGCTGTTATATTGTTAATGCTGTAGATTATATTGTAACAGTAAAATAATTTGTTCAATTCCACATGAGCTACACTCATGAGACACTTTGTTAGGTACAGCCGTTCACCCGCTGGTTAGCACAAGTATTTCTTCAGCCAATCACATGGCAGTAACTCGGTTCATTTATGCATGTAGACATGGTTAAGATGACCTGCTGAAGTTCAAACTGAGCATCTGAATGAGGAGGAAAGATGATTTAAGTGACAGAACATATGGTGTGGTTGCTGGTGCCAGACTGGCTAGTTCAGATGTTTTAAAGCTGCTGATCTGCTGGGATTTTTCCACATGACCGCCTCTAGGGTTTATACAGACTTGTCCAAGAGATTTGCAGTGGCAGGGGGCAAGTTGATACTAACAAGATATGCCTAATAAAGTGTCAGTTGCTGTATATCCAGCACATAACCCTTTTGATTTCTAGTAAAAAAAAAAAAATAGGTAAATTGGTTTGTTTGTCTATCAGGTGGATCACTCTGTTTTTATCTGGTATACGGAAATATCTTAAGAAATGCAGGCTGATCACAAAAGTGTTTTTATTTTTTTTATAGCTACTGTTCAGTTCTACAGTTATATTCTGCATTTTCTCTCTGCAGATGCTGCATTTACCTGATCGTCTTATGGAAAAGCTTAAAAGCAGCACCTACTCAGAAGGTATAAGATCGATCCATGTAGTGTTTGTGTGAAGTTTTATTTAGTTTTGCACTGCTGAAAATGATCTGAATCTTCTTTGCAGTGATGCTCACTCTAGGTGAAAATGAGAAGCTTCTCAAGCTGATTCAAGGTTTGTGCACTTTTTTTTTTTTTCTCACTGATCAATCAAGTTGTGAATTCAGTCTTTTAACATCTGCTTAATTAGAATCACAACTGCTGCCATCTGCTGTTTTCAGAGGTGGTTTTTCTCAATAGAAATCATCTTCACCACAAAGTCTGTTTTGTGGCTAGTCTGACACTCTTCATGGTATCGCACATATCATGTTTAAGCCACATTACGTGGTTTGTTTTCATATTATGACTCAAAGCTTTGTCATTTATCTTGTTGTGGCACCTTTTATTTACCAAATATATATCTGTTCACGTTTACTCTTTATTACTGTCTTTCAGTCAGTGTTTAATCACTTGAATCTAATCATTTTCCCTCTTAGCTTTCAAGCCAGGGAAGATGACGATCCTGGCTTACCAGAAAGACAGCAACAGGAAGCATCCGCTTCTTGGTCAGTAACAACCGCCAAAATAACAAAGCCATATTTGTTTTCAAATAAACGCATTCATTCATTTGCTCAAGTAAAAGAATGCTCATTTTTTGGAGCACTTCAACAGCATGATTAACAATCTCTTTTTTCATCCTTGACATACCAGTGAGGCAGAGTTTGACAAACTGGTTCCCTCTCCTCTAAACTATCTGTGTCATCGTGATCTTACAGGCATGCAGCACCTCGTCGAGTGCGTTTGTGTCGGAGCAGATGAGAAGAAGCATTACCTCTGCACGCTCTGCGGCCTAACAGTCGGCGCCCACGTGATCATCAAACACGTCCTGAGCTTTGACCACATCTTTTGGTATTTTGTAAGTAGCAGTGGCATCAAAGACCATATTAATTAAGTTAATTGCTTGAGATGAGTTGTAACTTAGAGGATTTCAAATTGTACAGTTTGAGAGTTCAGCTGAGTTGTTCAGAAGGCAATCAGATGATTTGAAGTAGTCGGGCTAATGTAATGGGAAGTTAAGATTTGAGATATGAGTGGATGCGTCATCATGCAGACTTTCAAACTCTTCATCTTCAAATTAAACTACAAGACTGACTCACACTGAGCTCACACTCCTCACCTATCTCTAGCCCAAATCCTTCAAAGAGCAGCTGTCCTCGTCGCCTTTTTATTGACAACTGTTACAATACACATCACAGCAAAAGCACCCCCCCTTGGTTACAAAGACAAGGTACTGTGTGTGTGCGTGTGTCTCTGTGTGCGTGACTTCCTGCTCACCAAAAGGATCATAAAAGCAGGAATTAACATCAAACAGAATCTTCACAAGGGATGTGCTTGTGATAAAACCTCCCCCAGCATGGAGTGGCTGGAGAGGTGGTCAGAGACAAAGGAATGTCTTGATCCTATAGATTGAACTATAACTTTACAAATTTAAGAAACACAGTGACACATTCAACAATTAGACTTAACATAAGGGATCACTACAGGTTTTCGCTTTGGCAGCGGTTGTCCTTCTCTCCTGGATTGGCTGGAGCTTTCTTTTGGTGCCTTCCCAGCTTTGACAAAAGTCCAGCTGGGATAACCACATTTACTCAGGGCCTTCTTGGTGTGAGGTTCCTCTTCTTCCCTGGCCACTGTGTCTGTGGGGATGGTGTTCGCTCTATGTTGTAACATCCTAATGACACCCAGTTTATGTTCCAGTGGATGATGAGTGTCAAACCTTAAATGCTGATCTGTATGTGTAGGTTTACGGTACACATCAGCTTTTAGAGGTCCCCCATTACTGATGGAAATCTCACAGCCTAAGAAGGCTAACCTGCCACTTTTCATATCCTCCCTGGTGAATTTAACTCGGTGGATCGACACATCAATGTGATCCGTGAAATGTGGTACGTCCTGAGATTTGATTTTCACCCAGGTGTCATCCACATACCTGTTTCTGCCTGTAGAACTGACACTTGTATGTGAAGTAGGTGGAATTAAGACCGTTCCAAAAGGAAACACACTTGGTTTGTGAATGGTACTCATGGCCATTGATCAGTGGGCTTTGATCAGTGGTTGTTGATCAATGGTTGTGAGAATTTGCATAATTATTGATGAAGAAACTGACCTCCCAGCCCATTGTTCCTTCAGTGGGCTGGCTTCAGTCATTGTGCAAATGTACTGTTTATAAGATTGGAGAAACCTGCAGTCAGCTGAGACTGAAGAAGTCACTTGGATAAGTGACGAAACGTTTCTTCCTCTGAAAACGCTACGTCCAGATGAACAGAATCAACCTTTGGTGATTTACTTACCTGGATGATTGAGCATGCATCAAGAAATTGAATTTGTGATACCACTGGAAAAACAAAGATTCATCTATGGGGTGGGTGATGACAGTATTTATTTATTTATTTATTTACAATTTTACGTCAAGCAAATACGATTCTTTGATTCAGCTCCTGGACCTAATTGTGGTACGCTTGAACATCACTGCTAGACTCTTTCAGTCAGTCAGCAAAATGATCAATAGATATAAATTTATTAATAAAAGAAATTAAGCACACTTTTTCCACCTCAGAGGTCAATAATACCCTCTTCATCAGAAAGATCTTCTTGCGACTGCTTCGCGGTAGTGTCAACCACTTTGGCACCAGTTTGCTTGAGATTGAAATCTAGGCTTTGATTTCAGATTTTATTTATGTTTGGTTCACTCCCTCCACCCACCAAAGTCACTCTGTGTCCCTCTGTGACATCACTTCAAACGACTTCCTGTTTTATTTTGTAAATTCCTTACCCTTTGTGTCTACATATGGTTACTCCTGCTTTTGTATCTTTCACACATGTGGTTGATTATCCAATCAGCCCCCCCTGTGTATAAGTTTCTTGATTTGCCCATCTCATTTGCTGGATTGTTTGTGTATGATTCAGTACTCAAACTTTCCAGCGATTCCTGGTTCAGATTTTTTTCCTTGTGTGTTCCTGTTTGGTGTTGGTTTTCTTTGGGGATTACTTGTTTTCACCTGTTGTGTTTTGTTTTCCCTTTTGGCTCTCTTGCTATGTTTTACTTGACCAAGTGGTTTTTGTATCAGCTTTCTGAAAGAGAAGCTCGCTTTTTGTTAAGTTCCTTTTGGAATTGCATGTGGGTCGTCTGTTTGAACTGAGCTGGTCACAGAACAATTTGGCAAACAATGGATACAGCGGACCGTGGATTGCTCCTGCAGAGAGCCGAGAAGATGCTGTCTTCAAGGAGAAGTCTCTTCTCCAGCATTAACATCCCTGAAGAGATTCAACGCAAACTGAAGCCCACTGTATTGGTAATTTTTTCTAAGCTCAGGTTTTTAGAATACCCGCATGTGACAGATGGGTGCCTTTTGTGCTCATTTTGGAATATTCCAGTGACTTTTGAAGCCAACGATGGTCTCCTTTCCAGTCAAGCCCCGAGCCTCCAGTTTGTTGGTTCCAGCCTGCTAGCTTCCTTTTTATCAGCTTGCAAAGAACCTTTCAGCTTCCCTTCATAATTCCCAGGAATCCCCTATATGGGGAATGCTTCCACTACTATTTGCATGAAACCTTCCAAAAAGATTCTGTCCCTTTTGGATCTCAACTCTCTCTCTTCCTAAATCCTCCCTTCCTTTGTGTCCCTTCCAACTTTCACCTGTCCTCAGCATCGTTGGAGCAAAACTGATGGCAGGTGTCGTCTCACATGGCCAGCCGCCTTCTGGCTCCAGAGGGTGATATGGTCCGTGACCTCCGTTTAGAGGAGCATCTTCAGGCAGATTTCAAGCATTTGCCTGTCCTGTGTCCAGAGGATTCGTCTTTGCCTTCCAGCTCTGCCTCTCAGCCCAGCTGCACTCCACTCACCAGACCGTTCCACAACAGTCTCTTATCTTTGAGACACTTCTTAGAGTGTTTACATCTGCCACATGCCCAGCCATGAGGCAGAGGCAGTCCATTGTATTTTTACCACGTTTTCAGTTTTATAGTTCATGAGGTTCCTCTGCTTTAAACGACTTACTGTTACTATGATGGGTAACCAACTCTGTCTTTGATTTGTCTATGTTTGCCTGCGTTCACTGGTAAACTATAGTTTATACTTAAAGTGTACTTGCTTTTTAAAACGAAGGCTTTTCCCAGCATACTTCCTTTACAAATCAAATGTGCAGTCGTCTCTTTCTGATGTAGATACAAGGACTGTGAGTTGCTTTTTAGCAATGAAATTTGGAGGTTTTGTATCGGTTGATCTGCTCTTGTGGCAGCCAGTTGATGAAAAGTGGGTTAAAAGCCTCAGGCCAATCTGAATGACTTCACTGTCAGTAGAAAGATTTACAAGACAGAGTGGTGGGGAAGTGAGTGCTGTGTAACAAAGTTCATTGGTTTGAATCTCTGGTTGGCTGGGTGGTAGGGAGTTTCCTTTTTTCTGTGCCTGCGTGCACTGTCCAAGGACATGCCGGTTTGGTTATTTAGTGTGTGTGTGTGTGTGTGTGTGTGTGTGTGTGTGTGTGTGTGTTAATATCTATCGCGCTAACTTGCTTGAATTACTGCATCTAGGTTAATGTGATTTTTCAGAGAACAGCCATTATTTTCTTGTGCAGATAAAATGGGATATTATTAAAATGGGTTATTTCGATTGAGTGTACTTTTTTTTTTTTCTTCCCCCATATGAATGTACCTGTGGTGCTCTGTCATTCCTGCAACTCTGTAACGATATGTAAGAACAGCCATGTTTGGCCTTCATTGTAGAAAGGTGGGGAGTAATATGTAAATTACTTTGAATGTCTTTGCAGAAAGTGTGGCATCCCTCTACATTGTTGTCAAAAGAGTGCTACTCGCTGTACAATCCCTCCTTTGAATCCATGATGCTTGACTTGGCAAAGCAGACGGAGAAGATTCATGGAAAAAATGATTTGAAAGTATGTATATGTGAGGTTTCTATTCAGGCTTTTAAGATGATTGGAGGCGTTAATTTTTCTTAATGTGAAAATACAATTTTATTTATTTGGTTGCTGTAGCAAGTGAGCCTGGAGCCCGCTGAATTCAAGTCCGTAAACTTTAAAAGCTACACAGAAGGTGGGTGTCTAATTTTAAACCTTGGTTTAGGATTTATTCATCTGCACAAACTGGCTTTTTAGTGCAGTGTAGAGTAATGTTGTGCCAATTGATCTTGTAGCTTTGACGACCCTGGAATATATCAAGAAGTGCAGCTTGAAACCAGCCATCAAACCAGGGGAGAAGCTGGGTAATGTATCAGGGAGTCTTATGTTATCAGACTTGAGTAACTGCTGTGTTCAGCACAGCTATGTCAAACTTGAAGATGTTCAAATTGAAGTAAAAGTATATTTTGTTACTGTACATGTGTAGAGTTTTCAGCTACCTGTAGCCGATATGACTATTTGTAATTTTACTCTATATATTCTATCTGAATGCTGTATACTCTGTATCAGTAGGAAAATGAGAGCAAATCTGTGACAGAAAAGCATTTTTTACCAATAATGCTGAATGCTGTCACTTTGCAACAACACAATTTACAGCTGAATATCTAGCAGGGAAGACTTTTCCCAAGCATACCAGCTGTAACAAGTTCCTCTTATTCCAGTACCACGTTCAAATCCAGTGAGCTCCAGAAAGCGCCCTGTTCGTTCACAAGTGTTCATATGTTTGATTGCATGGCTAATCAGTTGATCTGATACAGCTGTGGCAATGCAACTGAAAACACCTGAATTTGATGACAGGTCTGTCCCAATACTCTGGTCTATGCAGTGCATCTGTACTTCTAATTAAGTGAAAACTGGTTATAGTTAAGAACGTAAACCACACAGTTGGCTCACTGAGACTATATCAGCACCAATCGAGCTGCCACACCGCTTCACCTAAATGTGGGCCACAGACACACACTAAGGTGGACACGCGTGTAAAATGGCAGTATAATAAGTTAGTATAATAAACTGACACACTGTCTAAAGAAGACAAAATTTAGGACCTGCCAAAAATTCACCAAAACAAGTTCATTAAAGAAATCAGTTGACAGAAAATCCATGTTTTTATGTCCTATAAAAAAGTGTTTTGAAGGTTTTAATGTCATTACAATACTCTCTCTTCAGAGTATCATGCTGTCAAAAATGAGTCGGCCCCTGCAAGCGTACCTTCAGAGCTGCGCTCATACTGCCCAAGATGTAAACTGCTGTGTCAGGTGATAATTTGTCCTTAATAGCCTTGATGTTGCTGCTGTACCGCTGGCTGCTTTTTTTTTTTTTTTTAAATAAAAAAAAAAATTAAATTTCCAATGCACCGACTGTCTGGACAGTCTTGTTTCACATCTGTCTCTTTGCAACAGGACTGCGGTCTGACGTTGAAAAACATATCTCAATATCTCAATCATCTGTCAAATCCAAGACACAGGGAGGTACAGTGACTGTTTTGATTTTCTTGGTGTTTTTTTTGTTTTTGGAGATTTGCTAATTAAACGTGTAGTAAAAACTCTGTTTTGATCTTCTCCAGATGTTGTGGAAACTCTTTGAAGGTACTTTTCTTTTTCATGTTTTGTGTAATAAGAGTTCAAATTAGATCTTAACTTTTTTCTTTTCTTCTTACAACAGAAGGAATTGAAGGCTATGAGAAAAAAGGTACACATACGTATTTGATTTGCTATCACGGAACTCATTATTTTCACATATTTGTATAGTTGTATTTTAGAAAAGTCACACATGGCCTTCTGCTGTTGCTCAATTCATTCTCTTTATCACAGCTCACTTTTTCCTTCACTTACACTTGTATGTCATGGAGTGCTTCAAGAAAAAACAGCCAGCCATTGGTAAGTTTGCTCGCTGTGTTTTCATACGGTAGATTTGAAAAATGTTTGATATAATTTTGTTTTTTGGTTTCTGTTTTTCTTTTAGGTACAACCTTGATTGTGTCCTGCATTACCACAGAAGTTGATGCAGAGCCTTTTTACATATGCTTTGCTTGTCAGGAGTGTGTCTGTCAGTCCTTGATTGAGCCACACTTAAACTCCCGAAAACATGTTGTGCACACACTGGTGAGGTTTCAAGTTATTATTTACTGCATTGATTAGTATAAGCGACAGTGATGTAGCTGAAATTATATTTTTATTTGGGCTGTTGCTCCAGTGTACTGATATCACAAGTATCACATTAATTCCTACATTTAGTTCATAGCTTTCCTTACAAAATCAAGAAATTAGTAGCAGCTCATGCCCCTGTTGCACAGTACTCTATATTACATAGACGGGCTCTGATGAAACATACAGTTTGTAATGAGCGACTCTTGTCTTCTACTCTTAGCTGTTTGAGAATCCCTGGCGGCTGCCTTTCGGCTGGGAGAATCTGCAGGATGATCAAACACTTAAGGCAAAGGCGTGGGAGGAAGAGATGGAGGCAAGACCAAAGGAGGTGGTTCTGAAGGTAAAATGCAAATTAATGAACCAAGGGGGCTCAGCTCTTTTTATAAATCCAGAAATTAAAACTGAACTAACATTCACTTTATGTGAATGAAGATGATAGGTTTGTAGCTTGAACCTATTCGCTGGAACGTTGAAGACAATATAATTACACAGCAAAGCAAGACACGAAGTAGGCAAAGTTCTTCATGTTTCTCGTGCACGGGAGAGAACCGGACAAGCGCCATTCCCTTGCTTGACCCCAGTTGCTCTCGTCCGCTCCCCCGTAACACTGCTCTTTTATTGAGGTTACATGAATATGCATAGGTTCATTAACATACGACGTGTACACACAAAGAGTACCTTGCCTGTGTGTGTGGGAGGGGGTCAGAGTGTGACCCCATAAATGACTTCCCTAAACCTGCTGGTCTGGAAGTCCAGCAGTTCATCTAAACAAAAGGCACTTAGCCTAAAACAGATATAGCCACGTTTATCCTACCATAAAACAATAAGAGAAGGTACGACCTCTCCCATGCTCCCAGAGTGCTCTCTAATGCACACGAAGTTTGCAGACTATCAAGGATCAAACCTCTACCAATCTACAACTAATTATAAAACTCTAAGCATATATAAGTAGATATTTCTAAGCATAAATGACAATCAACAATACAAAACATAACGAAGATATGTTTCAAAATTAAAGCAGGAAAATCCCAAATTTTTAAAAACACCTGTTAATGTAAGGGGAATAATTTCCTGCTGACTCTATCATTACATTTTTTTGTTTGTTTGTTTTTAAATATATTATATTACAATGTAATCTTTGTTTCCCAGGTTCTTGATATGCCATGGTCAGTATTTTACAGGCTCAGCCCTCCTACTTTTGGAAAAGGTAAGAACTATAACTATATATTATTTTTTATATATATACAGACAGCTTTAGTTT